CAGCCTGAGCTCCAGCAGCCCCACGGCCGCCCCCGGCAGCGCTGCTGTCTGCAGAGGGGAGAAACCAGTGTCCCAGCGTGGGGTCCACACGCAGCCCCGCTGCTCCAAACCACGGGTCTTAATGCCACCAGCCAGGCTGCAGACGCATCTTCAGCTCCGCGGGACCGGTCTTTGCCCAAGTTCCTCCGCGCTGTTTGCTGGGTGCTGTTTCACTCGTTCTGTCGTGCAGATACGCAACACTAATGGTTTTAAGCAATTGTGTTTTTTAACAGCTGGCTGTCGGCAGAGGAAAGGCAATGGATTTTGCGGTGGAGCTGTACTAGTGATCGTGTTTCATGGGAGATGAGCAAGTTTGGCAGGACCTGCCTGGCCTCTTCTTCCTCACAGCAGCTCCTGCCCCGGTAGCTGAGCCAGGCATGTGGGGCAGCTGGGGCTTGCAGGATTAAGCCCAGTTTACCAGTGCGTTATCGGAGGTCCCTTGGGAAACGTGCAATCCAATGTCGATGTCTCGTGCCTCAAAACTGGGCAAGTGATGGTCCAAAGCCCACGGAGAGACAGATCCTGGGAGGAGGAGCTGGCTGTGGGGATCGCATCCCTCCTGCTGGGAGACGCAGGTCACGCCTGGCAAGGCTGGAGCTGAGCAAGGAGAGATCTGTGCCTTGGCTCGTGGTCAGCGTCTGCAGAGGCACCCGCCCCGGGTGCTGCAGCAGCCCCGCAGCTCTGCCCCAGCCCCATCCAGGAGTAGGTGCACATCTTACCCAGCGTCTCTAGTCTCCTCTGGTGCCATGAGTAGCTGATATAAAGTAGTTCAGGCTCCTCACTGCTGCCTATTTCTGCTATTCGCCTACTTTACTCTCACTCAAAGCTTTTGCTGCTACTTAGGCCGGGCTTCCCCTCACCTCATCCAGTCTGACGTGTCGGTGTTGAACCCTGGGCTCCGTCCGGAGAGCCCGGGGAGGCACAGTGATGCACGGCACGCACCCTTCCCCTCCCGCCATGCCCGGAGCTGAACTTTCTAGGAGGAGACAGCCAGGCGAACGGACCTCAGCCCCAGTAATCGAGCGCCTGCAAGCGTGCCTGCGCTCAGCCCGGTGCCAGCCAGCGGCAAGGCACGCTGCTCACCCAGCCAGAGGGTTCCTGTTCCCAGGACTCTCAGTTTGGGGAGGGGGAGACTAAATAAATAAGCCGCTCACAGATCTGCCTTTGAACGGAAAGTAAAACACCGCAGGACATCCCTCCCCCTTCTCCTCCCATGTGCGTAAAACCAACTTGAAACACACCCTGTTGCTGGGAAAAGTAAGGCCGTTCTGTTTTGATTTTGGTAGATAATCTTGTGCCGTGGAGGTCAGCCGGGCGAAGCGAAGAGGTCGTGATGAGAAGCAAACATCCGCGCTTAGGACAGCTGCTGGGAAGTGCTCTGGAAAAGCCAGGAGTTTCGAAGAACAGATTTGTGAGTCCCCAAGATGAGGGAAAAAAAAAAACAAACAAAAAAACCAAGGTGGGCCACTGCTTTTTCCTACAGTGTGTTTAAGTGAATACCTGGCCCCGCTAGCCCCTTGTTTTAATTTGTGTCCGGGTGGGGTGTCAATGTACTGTATGCACATCACTACATTTAACAAACTATATGTTAGAACCACAGTGTAAATGCTAATTTAATCAGATTTGTATGTAACCAGAATTTTATATACCCATTTGCCCCTTTTCTAATTTATGCTGGTTTGTGTGTATAAATGTACTTACAGGAAGAGATATTAAACTTATGTCTTTGTACAGTATATACATACTATTTTACCCAGGCAAAGTATTTTTGCAGTGATGTTAGAGAAGGTGCCATTTGCTACCGTTAAAGACAGAATAAAGTGACGGTCTGTCCCTGGCAGCTCGCTGCCCGTGCTCCTGCTGTTCTTTGCGGGGCCCTAAAGATGTCAGCCTTGATTAAGTTTTATGAGTGGGAGCGTGGGGCTGGGGGGCCTGGTGCGAGGGCAGCTGCTTCCACCCGACCCACCTGGCCAGGTTTGCACAAGTCCCCTCACGGCTTGTCCAAAGAAAGATCTGGGTGCCTAAATTGGGGGTCCAAAATTGTCTCAGCTGCCGAGAAATCCCGGTGGTTCCTGAAGTTTCAGCTGCGCCTCCCATTTTGCCTTTGCACCTGCCCAGAAATGGCTCTGTAAGAGCTGTTTCGCCCCATCCGCGCCCCTGGCATCGCACTGGGATCGGCGGGAGCAATGGGCAGGAGCAGCTTCTCTGCCCGGAGCCCTGACTGCTGGCAGACCTTGGGGCAGGGACCTCTGCTGACCTCCCTGTAAACCAAATGCAGTTACACCATCGTTCTGCCCACGCAGAGCTGACGGGGAGCAGCTACCCCGGTTGGGCACTGCAGACCTCTCCCCAAAAAAGCCTTTTCCCAACACGGGGCCTTGGGCACGGCTCCCGGGCTCCGCGGTGGCGATGCAAAGCAGGCGCAGGACCAGCCGAGCACCCTGTCCCCGAGCAGAGCAGTGGCCACGCAGAGCTCAGCACCTTCTGTCTTTTACAAAGAGCTGAGTCTTTAACATCACCCCGTTAATAAACCTCCCCTGGCAGCTGGCGGGGCACGTGCTCCCTTTCCCAGAGCGCTCGCTTGGTGCCAGCTGGGAATTTTCTCTCTGCAGCCACAGGTTTCCAGGGTCTCAGCACCAGAAGGGACGTTTGCTCAGAGGCTGTGGGCCCCATCCTCCCCTGCCTTGTGCTCCCACTGGCGCACTCCCGTAAGGTCCATTTTAGAGGAATCACAGAGCTGTAGGGGTTGGAAGGGACCTCTGTGGGTCACCCAGCCCAACCCCCTGCCCAAGCAGGGTCACCCAGAGCAGGCTGCACAGCACCGCGGCCAGGCGGGTCTGGAATATCTCCAGAGAAGGAGACTCCACAGCCTCCCTGGGCAGCCTGGGCCAGGGCTCCGTCACCCTCAGAGGGAAGAAGTTCTTCCTCATCTTCAGCTGGAACTTCCTCTGCTTCAGTTTGTGCCCGTTGCCCCTTGTCCTGTCGCTGGGCACCACTGGAAAGAGTCTGGCCCCGTCCTCCTGACACCCACCCTGCA